TAACTCCACCCTTCCCATCACTGCGACTTCTGATCCATCCAACTGACGGATCTTGATGTCCTCCCGTTTAATTATCCCTTCCGACCAAATACTCTGATATTTCTCATATCCCATCACGGATATGGCTGCCCCGGTATCAAATAACATGGATACCATATTTCCATTCAAATTTATCCAAACTCTAGGGCAAGGATCATGTATCCTTTCCTCTTGTATCATATATATGCCCTTTGAGGACGTCGATTTGTCATATATACGGATCACAAGCCCTTGGTTCATCTTTTCAGAAAGGACAACAAGGAGCTCATGTTGTCGCCTAGGTTGCAGCGATGGCTATTGCTGGTAGGCAGTTTCGACGTGCAAGTGAAATACCGACGAAGAAGAGAAAATTACTTACCGGATATTCTTTCTAGATGTGGAGCGGGAGAGGATTGCGAAACGAGTAGGTCGAAAGATATGGATGAAGAGGATGAGCACGGGTTGATTAGAGCGATAGTCGGAATATCTAAAGGAGGACCAGTTGCATGGGAACAACTCAAAAATGCTACTTTAAAAGATCGCGAGTTGACGAGAATCAAAGCGTGCATATTGGGTCGGAAGCAATGGCGAGATGGGGACAAGAAGTTCAAGCAAGTGGAGAAAGAGCTAACGATAGTGGACGAGTGTGTGGTACGAGGAAGTCGGGGAGTGGTGCCGTCCAGATTGCGGGAGGCAGTAAAGGCAATGATCCATGCTTGACATCAGGGTATGGAACGAATGAAACAATGGGGGCGGGAATACGTATGGTGGCCTGGCATGAATAAAGAAATCGAGAATATGGTGAGAAGTTGTGAAATGTGTAATTCATGGGCAAGTATGCCTCGAAAGGACAAGAAAAGTATTTGGCCTAGGGCTACTCAACCATGGGAAAGAGTACACTTAGACTTTTTCGACTTCGAAAATAAAATATATCTCCTCGTAGTGGACGCTTACTCAAAATGGGTAGAGTATCAAGAAGTAAAGGGGTTAACAACGCAAGTAGTAATTAAGACGTTAAAAGATCTTTGGGCAAAGTTTGGGGTAGCGGAAATAGTCGTGTCGGATGGAGGACCCGCTTTTATAAGTAAACAATTTAAAGTTTTTTGTACTGAAACTGGGGCGAGACACATTTTGGCACCTCCTTACCACCCAAGCTCGAATGGGCAGGCGGAAAGGATGGTGGCGGTGGTAAAGAGTTGGTTGAGGAAGTCGAAATATGGGGGTGGAGAGATTTGGATAGCGATTGCGTATTATAACAATAGTCGAAAGGGAGAGGAATTGTCCCCAGCAGAAAAGTTTTTGGGCCGTAGAACTCGTATTCAGTTGGATTTCTTAAGACCCAAACCGGCGCAGGACGAAAATTCAATGGATAATCAGTGTGAATTTGTGAATGGTCAGACCGTATGGGCGAGAATTTTTGGAGGTACCCGAAAATGGGAGTCAGGAATAATTATACAGAACATGGGGCATAAAATGGTGAGAGTAAAATTCGTGGACGGAAAGGAAGGAGTTAGACACGTAGAACAGATACGGAAGAGAGTAGAGTCTGAAAGATTGAAATCTAGCCATGATGCGGCGAGGAGAGAGGGATAGATATCTTAGCAATTCTCAAGTTAAAGCACATAGAAAATAATAATACTAATAATGATAATTAACCCAAGATGATAATACCTCCGCAGTTCCGAGATTAAATCAAATTTAATAAAAAAAAAAATCGATAATAATAATTAACCCAAGATGATAATACCTCAGCAATTCCGAGATTAAATCAAATTTAAAAAAAAAGAAAAGGGGATCAATAATAATAATGGTAACCGGTGCTAATAATGTTGGAGGTTAAGGGGCTATATATATATATATATATAAAACTTTCGTGATTCTCGAGTTAAAGCACATAGAAAATAATAATACTAATAATGATAATTAACCCAAGATGATAATACCTCCGCAGTTCCGAGATTAAATCAAATTTAATTTAAAAAAAAAATCGATAATGATAATTAACCCGAGATATTAATACCTCAGCAATTACGGGATTACATCATATATTTTTTTTTTTATTTATGTTAACATATGTAGAGAATAATAAATAATTACATTTTGATTTTATGTACAAAACCCCCTTGTTTATCTTTGTTAAACAACAATTTTATTTTTTTTGTATGTTCAAGGGTTTTCATTTAATGGGGGCGTGTTATAAATAGTTTTATTATTTTTTTTGTATGAGTCATGAAATATTTTTTTTTTGTTTGAAATTTTATTTTTAATATTTTTTTTTAGTTTCGCGCAGTCATCTTGAACGTCATTATATAAATATTTTTTTTGTTTGAAATTTTATTTTTAATATTTTTTTTTTGTTTCGCGCAGTCATCTTGAACGTCATTATATAAATATTTTTAATATTTATTATGTAAAAAAAAATAAATAATAATTTAATATTTATAAAAAAAATAATCTTATATAAACTAAAAAAAAAGTGGAAATTCATTATTATTATCAATTATATTTTTTTTATATTTATTGTTTTAAAGAAAAATAAAACCAATTTATTCAAAAAAAAAAGGGTAAAAAAAAATAATAAATATACTGTTAAGTTAAACATTTCTGTACGGTGAAATTTTGAAAGTATTAATATATTTTTTTATAATTCATATCTAAATTTTTACAACATATTTTACCAAAACAATCAAATAAAGGAATATCTTAAATAAGCTCCAATATTCAAGTATTATTAATATATTTTTTTATAATTCATATCTAAATTTTTAGAATATATTTTACCAAAACAATCAAATAAAGGAATATCAATTCTTGAAATTTGTAATACCTTTCAAAGCGAAAAAGGAGAAATAAAATTGATTTTACTTAATATAAAGCATTTTTTAATTGAAAAATTTGTTTTACACAAGTATCATTTTATTTCTCCTTTTCTCTGTCCCAAATTCAAGCAATTACGTATATAGTCAGGGACAGATCGCAAGATGACGGAAAACTATATAAAAGATTATATTAAATTACAAGAGGCTCAGGAAGTAAATGAAATACCATCGACCAGTCAAATTGCGACTGTTGTTAAACAAACTGAATTGTTTAATGACAAATGGGGCGATGGTAATTCTGGTAATATGTCAATACCCGATGATGAATATTATAATTACATAAATAAAAAAATAGATGAAACATTTAAGGTGGATAATTTGTCAGAGTGGTGGGCAGCTCATCAAAGCAAAATTGGCAATTCCTGCTTCAAGTGCAAGCTCTGAGCGGAATTATTCCACTACGATAATTCTTGAAGAAAGAAGAAGTAATCTTAAAAGGTAGATATGCTTCTCTTACTTCATGATAATTTGTGAATTTTTAATATCTTTCTTGAGTATAGGGTTTCGTCAATCATGCTGGTTTTTTACTATGCAAACTGTCAAATATTTATTGCATTTATTATATTTACCTTACGTCATGAAAGTTTTTAATCCAACATTTTTCATTATTTATTTTACAATATTATATAATACAATTATCTTCTTTTGTTAAAAATTTATATTATAAAATAAATTATATTAATATTGTGCAATTAGATTATATTTTCAAAATACTATTTATTATACATGCATTTTTTTAAATAGCGATTTATTTTTATTTTATAAATTAAATAGTAAATTAAATACAATATATTTTATTCTCAAAATATTTCCCATTTTTATAAATTAAATATTAGTTTTATTATTTTTAAATGCAATATAAAATATAGTATATGCTTAAAATATCCATTTTTTTAAATAACAGTTTTATAATTTTTATAAATTCAATATAATATTCTCAAAATATTAGCTTTTTACATGTATTTTTTAAATAATAAGCGATAATACCCGCTAAAAAATATGGTAAAATACCTCATAGGTGAATTTATTTTAAAAAATTCCGAGCCGGGCCTTAAATTCTTTTTTAAAAATATATCCGGGCCGGGTCTTAAATCCGGGCCGGGCCTAAAAAATTTTAAACCGGGTCGGGCCGTGCAAATGGTACCTCTGCAGGTCTCTGATTTATATAATGAAATATTACATTTTTAATAGTATCAAAAGATTTAATAAAAACCTAATTCATGATTAAATAAGACATTCAATTAATCCCATTAATTGACCCTATTGTTTGGGAATATTGTTAAATTCCTCAACATCTATAAAAATTTTTAACAATTAATAGATTAATAACTTTTCATGAATATTTCTAAGATATGCATGTGCTAATATATTTGAAAAATTTCAATCTGGGTTATAAATTGTGGTCCATACTATTGGAATATGTTTTAAATATAATAATTTGAAAAGGTATTCTTCTCATAATTACTCACAAACTGTTTTAAAGTAGAAAAATTTTTTAGTTCTAAATTATATCTTAATTCCTATTAAATAAAAATATATTAAATAATAAAAGCATCAATTTTAAAATTACCATTTTTTCCATTAGATAAAAAAAATACGTAAAAAAAATTTATTAAAAAAAATAATAAACAACTTTTTTTTAATATTTATTTGTTAAAGAAAAAAAAACAAGCGTGTTGAATAAAAAAATAAAATAACTTTTTATGACACCATTTATTGCTGTTAAATAAAGGCGTTCCCCTTTCCTCTACCTTTTCTATGCTTTCTCATATTCCCCTATATATTCTTATAATTGACTAATAGTATAATAGAAAGTGACATTGACATATATTTAAATAAAATATTTTATAATTGTATATAAAAATGTAAAAAATATGTAAAATTTCGCGATCGCGATACTGCCCAACTCTGTCACTAAACTACTTACCCAAAGAGTTGTCAACAATTACTTCTTCACAATCTTTTATTAAAGTCTTTTTATTTTTTATGCAGACCATTACAAATTATATAAATATGCACAAATTATGGTCACCTCATAAATAAAATATAATGTAAATTTTATTTTCATTAAATCCTATTTTACTAGTTAAACAGTTTATTACCATATGACGAAAGAATCATCAAAAATTGAAAGTTTTAAAATTGTTGAATTTAAAAACTCAAATTCAAATTACATCAAACCATTGCGTATAGAATTCGAACAAGTCACTTTATATTTATTATATTAATTTAATAGACGCCTAGGATAATAAATTAAAAATATGGGATTTTATTAAATCACATGACAGGTTTACTTAATAATTATAAAAGCTATTATTATTATTATAGTGTTTCTATAATCTTATATAATAAAACGCGTGATGTTCTCATTTTTGTTAAGCAATTTAGACCAGGTTAAAGTTAATATAGAGATATATAACTTTAAAAATTATAATTTTTTTTAGCAATATATGCCAATAGATTAGATGGATTAATAGATGGAAATAAATTAAGTTTTGATGCAGGATTTTCCTTAGAATTATGTGCAGGTATAATAGACTCTGACTTAAATCCTGAACAAACAGCTGTAGAAGAAGTGAAAGAGGAAGTTGGTTATCAAATATCAGTTGGGCAATTAAAATATGTCAATACTTATAGGTAAAATAACAAATATTTAAAACATTCCCATGAGCATTTTTAGGTTGTTATTACAAGCAGCCTCATATATTTTCTTAGTATTTTATGATATAGTTAATATTATTATTGCCACTAAAGCTGTTTATAATAATTAAACAATACACATAGACATGAACCAAAATATTTCTCTACAATTTTATTATATAAAACTTACTAAATTGTATTTATTTCATTCAAATTCATGCATTACAATATACCAAATGTCATAAAATTTTAAAAATACACTTAAAATTTTCCTTATATTAATATTTCTTAATTAAATTTCAGTAAAAGTATTTTAATGATTTCCTATGAGACTTAGAATATTTTAAACTTATAAATCTATCATTTTTATTTATTTTATCAAGACAATCTAATACAAAATAAAATCATTTAAAAATATTCATAGAAAAATGAATACAAATTTATTTATTGATTCATAACTGTTAGGGTTGGAATTATTGATTTTAACTGAAAAACATATTTCACTAAAAATAAGTTTCTGATAAAATAAAAGGTGAGAGTTGTTATTTTTTTTAAAAATTAATTTGCATTAGTATAGAAATATTGTGAAAATGAAAAATGATAAAATAACAAATTATTTAAAACTTATATTTTACATAATTATTCATTTTTATTGCTTTTAAGAACCAAGTATTCTTATAATATCTATTTGTTATATTCATATTTTTTGAATCGGTTTAATATAACCAGAATTGTTAATCGCTACTTTTAAAAGTAGCATGCTACCGCATCTATTTGTCAAAAAAAGTGACGTACTCTTTGCTACTATTTTTTAAAAGTAGCTTTAGCTACATTTTAAGCCACTTTTTATAAAAAAAATTTAGAAACAAATTTGTTTTATTATTTGCTTATAATGTTATTGTATAGTAAATATATAAATACCAACATTTATAAATATTAAAATATAGTTAGTTTTGATTATAAAAAAATTTATATGTAATAAAAATAAATATTTATGGTAATTTATTGCATTTTATAAGTTTTTACCTAGTGTTATGTGTCCAACTATCTGCCATGGTATATATATATGATATCCCTGATAACTCAACTATTAGAGCATCTTTCATCACTTTAAAGTTATCTGCTTTTTTATTCATTAGTGTCTGGCAACATAAAATTGTTGTACCAGGGGGATAGAGTTTTAATCATCATGGTAAATGATGGATTATCAACCAAGGACATTGGCTGAACTGTATCAATTATAAAATCAACAATAACTTTATCAGCAAATATCTGAGAAATATTGTCATTTGAATTATTAATTAATTTGGTTTGAATTGAATTAGTCTTTTTGGATGTAGAGTCACCCATACCAAAATTATTTAGATGTTTCTCCATTTCCTTAAAACTATTGGCATGAACAGTCTTATAAAACAAATACTATTAGAATGTAAAAATGACAATTTACCTTTTGGTGTTTCTTGTTATAACTGGATTGATTTGAGGAAATACTTTTTTTACATTTTAAATAAATTTGAAGCCAGTTTTGATTTTTATATTTATTTTTAAAAAATTTTCAAATCTAGGGAATGGTAAATTTGTATTGTAGCTATTAAGAACATTTTCTTCCCTGGTATCTTCCATTTCATTAATATTGTATAAATCACTTTCAACGATTTGAATACTCATAGGCGACGACATTTTAAATTTTTAACACGTGATTTAGGTTTATAATACAAATGAAAATATAAATTACATATTGAAAATATATTTCAATTTCAAAATTAAATAACAAATCATAAATAATAATTAATTATGATATTATATTTAAATTTTCATGTTTATACCTACCTTCATTATATTTTTTAAAGCTATTTAGCTACTTTCAAAAAAAGTAGTGCGCTAAAAAATTAAATAATTACAAAAATACTAGCCGCTATTAGCTATATCAACCAAAAAAGATAGCGCGCTACAAGTAGCTCGCTACTTTAACAACTCTGAATATAACTAATGGATTGATAATATGAATCAAATATATAGAGACCTATGCCCATCCAAGGATTTTAAAAAAAATTTATTTTCAAGCCTGGCCAAGGATATTTTAAGAAATTTTTTGGACTGGTCTGAATTTTTATTTTTGATTATTTTTTTGTCAATAATTTTGCAAATTGTTAAAGGGAAATTGAATAATATGAACAGTAAATGAATATTAAATGCTCCATTATAAGATTTTTTCATTAATTATTTGATATAATTATAAAAGTCTGCTTGGTCAATATTTAAAAAATTTTTTTGCCTTACCTGAATTTTTCATTTTTTTTTTGTATTTTAAAATCTTTCTAGCAACAACCTATAAACAATATTGTAAATTCACAAAAAAATTAAACAAGTTAGTTATGAATGATATGATCCAACACACAATGATACCAACCAATTGACTTATAAAGTTATGGTAGAAATCGATAGCCATAATAAAGGCATAGACTTATATTAACATATAGTGCACAAGGTTTAGAAAACATCTTTATTAATCGTCTATGTTTATAATGATTTTAATAAATATTTCATATATTTATGAATTTTTTTTATATTTTATTTAAATCACATATAAATAAATATAAATTACAAGATATAACATTTATTTCTTCTTCTATAGAATCCATTTCTTTATTTATATTAAAAACTAGTAAGATACACTATAAAATAATTTTTTTTTAAAAAAATATATAAATTAAATGACATTTAGAAAACAAAAATAGGTTTTTAAAAAACCTTGTGGGTGGGGGTGGCAAAATAGATTATTGAGATGCCTTGAAACATTTCGATTTGAGTTGATTGTAACATTTTAAAAGAGAATAATCATTTTTAATTTGAGAAATTTTTTTTGCTTAAATTAATATAAAAAAATGATAGCCTAGGGGGGCTAGGGACCCATTGGTAGAAATAACTATGGGGATAAAGTGAAAATCAGAATTTAATTTTTGACCTTTCAGCTTAATCTGACCAATGCTTGGTTTGGAGTAAAATTCGGAGACACAAGTGAAATAACAATAAAGTGTTTTCCTCTAAACCAAGGAATGTTTTTGAGCCATCTGACCTTTTCCTATCAGACAGGGATAAGTGAATGAGCTATGGAAGATTAGGGTAGTTGGCCAACCCCAATTATAGAGTTAATAACTATGGTGACTGAACCGTCTAGAATACAAACGGCTTAAACCAAGTTGACCCTTAGGATTGAAGTCTTTCCTGCACCCTTTACATTTTTCCCAAAAGATATAATATTAAAGTAATTAACTATTGTTTAAAAATTCATATTTTAATGAATGTAGAGAATTAGTTATATAGATTAAACAATTTTTAAAATAAAAATATATAATGAGAAAATTGGGTAACAAAGAAATTTCCACAAGATGAACCGTTTTTAAAAATTTAATTTGTATATATATATATATAACAAAAATGGTAGTTTAATTTACAATATAATAATATATATTTTATAATATAAAATGACATAAATTTAAAATTCATTTAAAAGTTTTTTATTTTTTTGGAAGAATTGATAAATTACAAAATGCAAGAAAAATTAAAAATAACTACATATAATTTATGAAAACCTAAAAGTTTGTAAAAAACAGGAAAATATGTTTTATATAATGAAAAAAAAATTAATGACTATTTTTAAATAATCTTTCTTTTCTCGCTAAATGATAAAATAAAAAATTCTATAATTTTAATTAATATTATATTTTTAATTTAAAGACATAATGTTAATATCTATCACTTTTTTCTATTATTTTTACTGCTTATCACTTTATTATTATATAGAATAGGGTGTGTCTTTGAATCAAAATGCTTATCATTTTTTTAATTATCAAGGTTTCCAATTAACAATAAAACTCTTTTCTATAAGTGGACTCATGCAGTTAAAAGAGAATTTTTTTAAACAGCATATGCTAGATTATATATTATTATTCAAATTTAACCATTATATAAAGATTGTTTTAAGAAAATTTCAGAATGTAATTATTAGTAGAAAAAAAATATTTAAATATTGCTTATACAAATATTTCATTAACTATTAAACTTGTAAAAAGATACATCCTTATTTTTGCTGAACAATAAATTATAATTATTTTATGTTATTAATATGGAAAAATAAAAACTTTGATAGAATAAATTCAAAAAAGAAGCTTAAAAGCATAGCAATAAAGTTTTGAAAATTTAAAAGCCTTGAATTTTCGGACGTTATCAAAATATTTTTCCTTTTGAGCAGGCGGGTTGAGTTAAAAATTTTTAGTAGTATGCCTAAAGGCGTAAATTTTTTTTATTGCCACCGTGAGCGGACGAGCCGTGAATAAAATTCCTGCAAATTAATTAAACAAGTCGGAGGTGATTGGTAAAATTATACCAGTTTGGGCCTGGCAATTTTTTAAAAATTATAATGGGCCGGAAAAAAATTATGGCCTCGTCTGGCAACTTATTTGTAGATCTCTAATTTAATATCAACCTATTGCTAAATCCCCTCTCCCCTTCCTCCCAAGTAACGAAATAAACCTAATCTTAAACTGCTTTAAATATGAGCTCTAGATTTTCTCCTCTTTTATAACGAGCCCTTAAACGTTTAAATGATCCAGTTCGACTTGTGATGCGTTCAATAGCTGTATGCCAAGAAATTGGCCGATGATTTTTCTCATAATCTCACTTGAATTATTTTTCTCATTTTGATGAGCATTAAAAAAAATTAAGTATAACTGTTCTCAATACACGAAAAGACGATGCTTGTAAAGAATGACGAGAGTGGGAAATACATCGAGAATTTCTGGATACTTAAAAATATATTTTCGATTTCATGGGAAGGAACTCCGAAATATTTCAACATAAAAATTTATTTCTTTTTTTAAAGAAAAATGATCATCATCATTTAAAACTATTATGATTTGAAAAAATTTACTGTTTCTTTTTTAGTCGCTTCATTAAAGAAAAAAAACCGAAAAAATTATTATGACAGCAGGATTAGTTATAGTATCACTACATAATTGGTTTGACAAGGTCAAAATAAGGAAGCTAATGAATAAATTTATATTTTATAATATTTTTTTTTGCTTTTCCCTATTTCATAAAAAAAATAATATATTTTAAATATTTAAATCCCTCTACCCTAAAAAATATAGATAATGAAAGTTTTGTCAGGTGAATTCTTAAAATATTTTTCCAGTAATTTTCTTGTTGTTTTGAAATATAGTTTAATATATTAATAATTTATATCTTAATTTTGAAATATTGGTCCAAATTTGAATGTCAGCACCAACAACAATTAAAGAGAAACTCGGACATTCATCAAAATGCCAATTTGCCTGAGCTTCCCCTATCCCAATTTTTATTAATAAAAATTCTGAAAGTTTTAAATATGTTAAATAAATCAATATTATTTATAGTCATAATAATATATTGTACATCATTCACCCATTATTATTATTATATATTTTATAAAATGGGCTGGCTTTTTTAGCAAAATCAATATTATCATGTATCATCGTGTCTTAGTAAAAATTAGTTTTTTTTTAAAATTCTTTTTTATGATTAAATTCAAAATATAGTATAAAAATTTAAATTGTTTCTTATCACCTTCTGCTATACAATTTTCAATACAAGGGTTTTTGCAATGTAGCCACGATATATATAAGAAATAACAATTATATATAATAAAATCAAAACTAATAATGTTGTTAAACCGCTCGATTTGAGCCGATTTTATAAAAACGGCTAACTCGATATCTTATATAGAAAAATATTGTCTAAGCTTAGAGATTTCGTTAACAGATTTTAAAATCTTTGTGCACGAGAAATCTTCAGGCTTGCGTAATATTTTTCTGGATAAAATCTTAAGTTAGCCGTTTTTAAAAACCAGCTCAAAACGAGCTAACAACATTAATCAAAACTAGTTATACTTTGAAAATCTAATTTCGAAAGAAAAAAATAAGAAAGCTACCCCATATATTACCACCAGATTATAATCCTAGTTTTAAAATAGCAAAAATAAAAGGATGAGAAGGATTTTGGTAAAATACAATTTATTTGCCAATAATATTAATATTTTAAATAATTATTGAATAATATCAAATAAGACCCATAAATATGATAATAATTTAGGCTCAGATATGGGCTCATCCATAATCTAATTACTTTTAATAGTATCAAACATATTAAATTAACAACTTGTAAAAGAAATTAGAAAATGATATCAATACACTTAATCAAATAACTGATTTATGAAGTTGAAACCAAACACCTTGGTTACTAATACTGGGCAGGTCATGCCAGATCAATTTCACATCGGCTTGCTTATTATGGTAAGTATTACTAACGCTAAAACTCAGTAAATACTGTGGTAAATTAAATTATTTTACGAAATTTAAAGATTGGGTAGAATTGCTCAAAAGGGATCTGGGATAGACCATAATTTTTCGAAACGAGTTAATTAATTATTCAAATAAAATAACCTAATATTTCAGAGATCTTGACCTTCCAGAAAATATTTTGAAAGAAGTTGACCCTAGTTTTTCCATTACAAAACACGGCTTCAGAGATCCTTTATTTTTTTTATTGAGGAAGACTAGAGCTGTATTTGGGGTAAGAAAGCAAACTCCTAATACTTTTTAACTAGCTAAATATTTCAAAAATGTTCGAAAGATGTATTTTTGCACATAATTGTATAATATGCTCAATTAAAATGGGGGGGGGGGGTCCACAATTCAAAGATATTGATCAAAAACTTCTCTCTTTTTTAAATATTCCTCTGCAAAAATATTTTTTGCTTAGAAAAAATAGTTAATCTAAATTTTCAAATGATAGAGATTTATCCATCATGTAAGAAAGAATAGTGCCCTCAGAGTCAATGGTTATGACATATAGCGTTGATTATCGTATATCATTTTACTAAGCAATCAACCAAATTTTTATTAAAATGCAGTAAGAACTATTTTTACTTATATAAACGGTATAATACGGCCGCATCCGATATTTTGTATATCGTAGCACATAAACCACTTGGTTAGCTTTAGAAAAAAAACCTTACTGGATTAATTGAAAATGACTTATAAATTTTTATACATATCTGCAGTAAAAAAATATCCTTACATTTTTTTTATTATTATTTCCTTTAGAGCTGGGGTTGGTATAAATGGCGCCAAAAGCCTGATGTACTATTGTGAAGTTACAGATGAGATGAAAAAATTTAAAGGTGGAGGTATAGACAACGAAAATATCAAAATCATTGAAATGACGCCTTCGGAGGCAGAAAATATATTTATTTTGTCAAACAACGTGTATAAAGACTCTTCGGAAGACAAAGAGAGCAATCCCACTACTTCCAGCTTATTGTTTGGCTTGTTATGGTTTTTAAGATATCGCTACCAAAAAACGAATTGCTGAGCATATTTTTTTTTATTTAAATCAAATATAATAATTTATATTTCACAATATTGTGATAAAATTTGTAGATTTTCTAAATTACTTTAACCCTATTTAAATTAATTATATTGTTAGAGTGCTATTTTAATTTAAAAAATTATTTAATAACATTTGGTGTTGGAGGTTATTTTTGAATAAATTTTATGAAATTCGGAATTGTTGTTTTTGATGTTGGATTTGTTTTTATCTACCATATTATCATTGTCACTTCCATTATCGTTATTCATTCCCTAAAAAAAATTTTAATATATACGAAAAATAAAAATTATTGCATGATTTTGCTTTTTTTATGTATATGTAATTCTAGATATTTTTTGCCTCTCTAACTTTCCTTGAATTATTTTTAATATTGTCCAATTTTGGAATCTTGTAAATGCCTGGCACATAGGCATTTTATTTCTTTAGATCGCCTATTAGGCCATCGCTGAGATAGGATTCTGCTTGACTTGTATCTATTCTCAAATATTTTGTGTTCCATACTTTTTCAAATACACGCCAATTAATTTATTTTAGTTAAATAATCATCTAGTATCAAAAGGTTTTAAATATTTTTATAATTGATTGAATCTTTAGGCAAATTTTCGGTTCAGAAAAGTGAAAGTTATAAACAGCGTCGGTTAAATGATATATATATATCCTACTAGGTTGGCGATTCATAAAAGTTTCCATACAGAGGAATTCGCTGTAGTGCCTGTGGTTTGCACGTCGACTAATTGTTTTTATTTATCACTATATGAATACTCATTAATGTCATTTAATCAACTTGTAAACTACAAAATGGCGCTAAAGCTGACTCCCATGCATGGACATTTTTAACTGAATTTAATAAATGAATCGCCAATCTAGTAGTATATATGTAGCGTCAATGTGTTTTTTTCAGCAATATGTTATTTTTCAACTTTAAATTATTTTTTGAGCACGTTTTTAGAATTTAAAAATCTGATTTTACCGGAAATGTGTGCCGTCATGTTTGGGATACCTACCCTATGAAATTCAGACAATTTTCTCATTAACTTTTAAATTCAATATAATTTATATTAAAATTTCCATATATTTTTTATAAATGACTCATAGGTTTACAGAAAAATTGTTTGCAATTCATAAAATAGGTATTCCAAACATGATAAAATATATTTCCGGTAAAATCCGTTTTTAATCTTTTAAAAACGCGTCAAAAATTGATTTAAAAAAAATAACACATTACCGAAAAAAATACATTAACGCTAACATATATATATGTATGTATACATCATTGTGTTGGTTCAAACCATTCCATAATCGCCAAATTTTATGTATTTTGTTAACAAAAATTTATTAAAAGAAATAAACCGTAATTATCTTAAATTTGTTTAAGAATTCGCCGTTTTTAATAAAGCCGGATTCATCTTGTTGATTTCCCCTTCTTTTCGAAAAGACTTTTTGCAGCTCCGATTTTTCTTCTAGCACATTTCGCCCTCTAAATAGAAAATTAAAAAAATAAAGTAAATAATGAATTGTGAAAAAATAATATTCAATAATAGAGTGATTTTTTTTAAATAAAAAAGATGTGCATCTTAAAGAAATTCAAATATTTTGAGTTACGTATCAATGCATAACCCTGCATTTACAGCCCGAATTCGCGGGGCGAAGTATTCAAAATACGATATAAATATAATAATTTTACATTAATTTTTGTATTAGTTCGCGCGCTAACTGTGAATGGAGGCAAGATAAGAAAGAAACATGATGAAATTTATAAAAAAAATATTTTTTGAAACGCGTTTCCTTATTCTCCATCGCGCAGGTCTTTGAATGAGATGTTGTGATCAATGACATAGAATATTACCGGTTTTTTATATAAATAATTTACAAGAAATAAAGAAATTTCATAAAATTTTAAATGTAAATTATTTGTAGTATCACCAGCGGACCTATATTCGTGAAACTTCAAAATGCGTTTTACGAATAAATCGCCAATCTAAGTAAGTATTATATGTTATTGTTTTAATGGGCTATGTATTTTAAATAATCTTTTTTTTTACATTTTTTGATTCCAGTTCAATTCATGAAAAACATTTTGATGATTTTCCCACACGCATCCTACATTTTTTTCACCGATTTTAGGTACGTATTGTTTCCTGTAAAAATTTTATAATAGTTTTAATATGACAAATACAATGTTAAGAATAGTTTAAAATTTTTTTATATCTTTCAAGCCGTGTCTTGGTTCGTCTTATTTCTAAACATTAATCTGTTAGCCTGCTTTATAGCTTCCTCTAAACAGCCTAAAAAAGAAAGACGCTATTTAGTTTTACTTAATGGGTAAAAGTATCTTTGTGGGTATATAAACAAATAATATTTATTTAATGAACACACTTATAATACAAACCAATATAGGATTTCCTAGTTCAATTGTTTAGCATTGGCTAAACAGAAATAAATTTAAAAAATAAAAACCAGGACATCGTCTCCGCTTTTAATAGCGTTCATATGAAAGTTAATTTGCATAATAAGTGTGAAGATGGAAAAAAAAATTCCGGTCCGAATAAATCCTAATGTAATATGTGTCCAAATTTTTGGCGGATAGGACACTGACAGTTTCATTTAGGGCTGAAAACTGCATCATTAGGAAAAAATCTATATACCTGCATTCACAGTTAGCGCGAATTCGTGATGGAAAATACAAAAATACAGCATATTTTGTATAATTTGCCGGGACGCGCTAACTATGAATCAGGGGTAAGATGTAAAAAATTTATGTATGTTCCAAAAAAAAATACGGTTTACTTTTTAGATTTACCAAACATGCCCTCACCACGATGATACAAATTGACATTTGGAATATCGTCGGAATTCATATTTGCTTCCTTTTAGATAACTTGCTCTGGATTTTCTAAATAAAATTATATTTTATTTTTTAAAAAAAATAATTTTGATCTTAAGTTTATTGAAAAATAAATTTGTTTTTCTAGTTTACGAATTTTTTTTATTTGTCAATGAGTTTAATTTAATATGTCCTTTTAAAAAAAATATAAATTTATAATTATTCAAAAAAAAAAATATAACAACTAAAATACACCGACAAATTTTCATTTAAAATAATATAATCTTTTTATTTTATTTTTCTTCATTAACATAAAGTTTACCGCTTCACACCTTTTTATAACAAAAAAATTAAAAAGAAAACTGATATTTTGTCCAATTTTGGATTATTTAATATTTTTTCTCTTTACAATAAAGTTTTCAGAATGATTTTTGTTTGTGAAAAAGCCCCTCAAAAAAATAATTTTTGTTATGCTTGAAATTTTATTTAAATTAACAAGAATATATATAGGTCTAATATTTAAAAAAAAAAATTGCAGTAAAAATTATAATAATGTGTATGTTAGTGTTTCACAAAAAACACCTTTAAGTCATGTTAAATAAAATAAAACAATAAAAAAATAATTTTTTTTATTTGTTTAAAATGGAGTCTCTAAATAAAAGTTATAATTTTATTTTAAAAATTTGATAATCAAATTCCTTACCTGCCAAAATATCATTTTACTTCTTTAAAGTGTATAATTTAAAACTTAAAAGTACCTGCAAAAATATCGTTAAAGTATCATTTCAAACTTAAAGTAAGCTTGTTTTATATATTATTTAATACTCTCAAAGTTCAAAATAATCCATTACAGTTTTGAAATACCTAAAATGCTATGAATTAAAGAGGCAGGGGGACTTCAATTCGAAAAAAAATTTATTTTTAAGCCCGGCCCAGATATTTTAGAAACTTATTCCCATTCGGATTTTTAACCATTTTTCAGCCTAGCCTGGAATTTTTAAAAATTTAAATAAAGTTGTAAATTGAAATGTTCCATTTATATTATTTTCCGGTTGATTAATTTATATTCAAATTTTTTTAAAAAAAATGACCCTGCACGTACCCGGCCGGGATTGCAGTTCTTTGCTATAAATAAATAAAAATTAACTTATTCATATGAGAATAAGTATAAATCAAGCATGTAAAAAGTTAGGTCTACGAAAATAAGAAATTGAGTTCGAATGACATTCATAGGCCCAAAGGTATGCCATGAAGATTAGGCTTACAAAAAATATAAATGTAATAAATAGGATTTTAGACCTATTCCTAAAATAATGATTTAGCTAAAAAAAAGTTATAAAATGTTATTATTAATTCCATCTACAGTGTTAATACGATTAAGTGTATTTTTTTAAAAAAACATCGTCTATAAATTGATTAGTTTTATCAATAAAAAATAAAAATAGAGGAACTTTATGAGTAAGCGCGTCTTTTTTAACAACTCAATAAATTGCTTATTATAGCTGTAGGCGCGTAATGGCTAAAAATTAACTCAATCTATACACGCGTGTTGGAAAATCTCAAAAATATTCTAAGAATTATTTCATATATTCATGAAAAAAATATGGTATATTGAAAAATATAATTAAGAAGCGTATTATAAATTTAAAAGTCAATATTCTTTGGGATCGAGTTAGTTTTTCAATGATTTCATCCGTGTTTGGTTTCAATTTCAACTATGTATATTAAAAAGGGATGACCATTCAATCAATTTTCAGAAGTAGTACTTCTTATGCTAACTGCTCGATTTGAGCCGATTTTTTAAAACGACTAATTATCCAGAAAAACATTACGCAAGCCTGGAGATTTTGTGTTTGGACATCTATTAGCGAAATCTCGAGGATTAGGCAATATTTTTTTAAAAATTGGCTCAAATTGAGTAACAAACACTAGTTCTCAGGTATGCCTTTACTTTTATTAAAGAAGAAAATGTTCTTTCACTGAAAAATTAGTAATAATATCTATGCATTAAGAAAATAGTCTAAAATATGTATAAAATTATTACAAGCATCTATAGCATTTAACATTATCAACCATATTTAACCTTTTATACCATAGTTTGCATTCAGCGAATAATGTATCATGGGATATTTAAACATCCTCATGTCAAATATTTAATCTCTAAAAGGATTTAAAATAGATTAGGAAGGATATGCGATAATAATATTTGCAGATTTGTAAATGCTGCCCGATTAATCATGAACCTTTAATTTAATTTAGTTATAAAAGTATCTAAAGGGGGAAAAGAGATTTATTCTAAAGTATTCGTCGACTACCCTATATTATATTGCGATAGGCGCTGCCACTTAAGGTAAATTATTAAATTTTTGAGCTGAGCTTTTGACTTAACGACATAATTTATTAAATTCATCTAATTTTCTTAAGTTCAATTATAATTCTTTCATCTATTCTCATAATCTCAATATCATTTTTGAAATATTTAATTTAATTTAGCAGTGTAAAAGGTTCAAATAATTTGAGAAATTTTAAAATGGTAGATGGATATAAGATTAAGGAAAATTTTAAATCGTTATAATTCTTAGAATAAATTAACAGCGTATTTATTTCTGCTTGAATGTGATAAATATTGGAATATATATGTGATAAGATGTAGGAATTATATTTGGGAAATATTTTAGCCTGCATCTAGATTTTTTGGTTTTGACGGTGGGGGAATTTGCCCCCTTCCCCGCTACGCGCCCTCCTGGCTTTCTTCATAGTTGAGCTATATTTTTAAAGAAAATCCTAAGACTAAGGTGATAATTTAAAGCTAAAAACTAAGTTTAGCCGGCTGAAAAAGGGATCAATTACTCACATATTCCTCACCATCAATAAGATTTATTTCTTTTTCTTACACCAACAATTAAATTTTTTTTAGCTAGATTGTTCTAAGACTAAAACTATTTTAGAACTGAAACAGGATACATCGTTAATCAATACGATTTGGAGATAAATTTTTATAAACTTCATACTTACTAATTAAATTTATTTTTAATTTAATGAAGATTTAAAATTTTTCTAAATTAAATCTAATTATCGATCAACATTTTGTCATAAAAATCTAGTCTATTGTATTTCAAAAAGGAAAAAATATTTCCTTTCCTTGCTTTAATAATCAAAATATTAATCATTCAAATGTCCTGGTCTCTTACGAACTTATTTTTTATATACTCTACTTACCACTAGGTTTGATTAAAACTTTGCTCAAAATTTAAATGGCTAGTACCTGAATTCCCTAAAGAATATGCAAATTTGAACTTGTAAATAAAATAATTTAGGATATGAGGGTGAGGGGTCCATTTTTTTATTTTTATTTAAGGGTGTCAGCAACACTAAACTAATAATTATACCAATTTATATTTAATGAAGTAGTACTTTCAATATCATGTCCAGATTAATTTTAGCCCCATAATATAGACAAATTATTTTTAAAAGCTCTACAATTCGAATATATTTAAATTGTCCTAAAGCTTTATTCCCACTAATAATTAATCTTAAGCAAAGTTACCATCTTTTTGGCTGACGCCATTAATAGATAAATGTTCATTAACTTCTAAATTTGATGGGAATTTTATATATATTGAAGAAATAAAAACAATAAATAAATCGGAAGAAAATAATAGTTAGGTAGGGGAGACCAAGAGTGGAGTGATATTGGCTTGATACAAACCTGCTTTGATAAACTAGAAAACTATTGGGGTTAATTCTTTTTAAAATTTAGAATATTATTTTCAATCATTGTTATTCGGCTATAAAAAAATTTAAATAATAGTTCGTAATCATAATCAGACTCAATTAACAACATCTCCCAAATTGGTGGAAAAAGTGCTAAGATATTCGTTAGATAAACCCAATACCGATTAAATTTGATTATGATACGGGTGCACAGGTGTCGATGGTTTACAATATTGTAATGAAATTGTCAGATAAAAACTTGGACCACCAAAACTGTCAGTTTACGGTAATCAACAGCTGGACGTTCTTGGTGAAACTTTGGTAAGGGTGAAACTTAAAAATATTGGTTGATCATTACCAGTGGTCACCCGGTCAAATAAGATACAACCGTTTGGACTACCATGGATATGCATTTAATATCTTATCCCACGACAAGTTAGAATACGTAGTATAACTAGTAAAGATATAACAAATGATAAAAAATTGCTGCCTTACTACTAGTATCTGTAAGTGTTTTAAAAATAAGTCAGAACTTGTTCATGATTTTGAAGTTATAATACATCATAGTTATGTAGCAAGGCATAAATCACGTAGCACGTAAAGACCTTTTTCTTATGAAAACTAATAGAAAGAAACACGATAGATTGATGAAATCGAGAATTTTGAAGACTCAAAAAACGCATATGACCTTGGCTACTCCTGAGGATGTTGCCCCTATCATTTGGCAACTGTAACATGTTACCATTAATAACTAGACATTAGTTCTTCCACATCGTAAACAGTCATTGTCCCTATAAGTATTATTAATGTCAAATTAACTATTATCTGTATTTAAAATTGTCATTATTATTAATGTATTAAAACTTCCTTTTCTATGATATATGATTTTTGATTAAAAGGATTTTTTGATGATTATTTAATTGCTCCTTGGTTTATTAATTTTTACGATCATATTTGCAACTTCATTCTTAGCTCTTCCATTGTTGAAAGCTTACTCTTTCTCCTAGCTTATTGATTCCATCTGGGCATCTGGGATTTGCTATGAATATATTTCTCCAATGTTGCCATCTTTATTTCTGCAACCATCTGATATTCCCATCATCATGGTCTGATTGATAAACTTACACTCTTGTGCCAATTTTTTAGGTCGTCCTCAAAACTCAGAAACTCTTTGGCATTCCTCTCTTTCTATTCTAATGACCTTAATTCTAAAACTAAATAGAGGTGCGAGAGTAATAAAAACGGCACTATCTATTTCTACTATTTTATCACATTGTAAATCTTTCAAAATTCTCGGATATATTCTGCCGAATTACAAATCCCCATGTATGCAAAAAATATTTTTTTTCTTGATTTCCTTATCTAACAATAATCCTCATATCTCTAAAACATACTCTATATTCAATATAGTCTTGAAAATTGTTTTGTTTTTCAAAATTATCACTTGCTTAATCTGTATATATACTTCAAAATTTTTTTTACATGATTACCATTGTTCATTTCATTTAAAATATTAATTTCATCACTCGAAATTTTTTTTATTCTATCATATCCACATATTGTATTGATAATATTTAATTCCTTTTTTTTTATAAATGTGGGGGTCAGGGAGATGTTTTTGGAGGCCCTAACAATTTATTCCGCGGCTTCCAACTGATCCAAAATCAGTTTTCCACATGATAAAATTTTAAAAAATAAGAAAATATGATAGTAT